ATGATGATTTCTTGGATTCTACTTGTGATTTTGCTATGAAATGTGGGTTTTGATGCATTGTCTTGTGAGAATGCATATCTAGAGCTTCTTATTAGGGTTCGTGTATGCCATTGCTTGGCTATTCCTTTGATTCAAGTCATATTGTTGTATTTTGTGAGATTTTGGATGTTTTGGACTTGAATTTGAGCTTGGTGTTGAAAATCCCCGAAGGGATTATTTGGTACAGGGTTGTGTACCCGCGGGCGGAATGGCGGGTAGGGGTCCACCCGCGGGGTACATGTGGTGGAACATGGTTCCCGCGGGGTACAATGTGGGCTTGTTGGGGATTTGTTTCCCGTGATTCTTTTGGCTCGGTAAATGATGTTTTGACTTCCCGATGTTCTTTTGTGGAACTATTTGAGTGTCTTCTTGATGTTTCGTATGTCTAGAACTATATGGTAGGATTCCATGTAAGTTTTGGTGTCTTGAATCGTGCTAAGTGTTCAACCTTGTGATTCGTTGAACCATGATGAGTCTTATGTGTTCTTCGGAACTACGTTTGGTTTACCCGTTTGATAAGCATGCTAGTTCGGTGTTAAAATGCAAGTGTGTGTTGTTTGTTCTTTCCTATTGTGGATGATAACTTGTGTTGATCATCGTTGTTGTCGGATTGTGATCATTTCCTTATTGAGTATGGTTTCATATCTTTGTTGTGATCCATTGATTGATTCCTATGGTGGTGTTGTGTGTGTGGTTGTACCTAGATTGCACGATTAATGGTATGGGACATTAGTCACCAAGGTACGGCAGTGGTCCTCGTGGTGGCCATGACGTGATTATGGAGTTTGTGACCTGTGTGTCGGGTTCACGTGTTTTGGGAGGGCTTCGGCCGTGTGTTATGATCGGTACCCTCGTGTACTATGAATTGGTGGAAATTGTTGGCGGTTGTTGGCGGATGGGGACGACGGTCCTCGGAGGGATAAGGTTGGACTTGGATGTACAGGGGTCTTGGAGGTAATGGTTGGAACTAGCTATAAGGTTGGGGGTAGCCATAAGGTTGGAACTGGGCATAAGGAAGGATTATTGAATTCGTGATGTGTGATGTCACGAAGGCATGTGTTGCCGATGTTTGTTTCTCTATCCGTGACGAGTGATGTCACGAAGGCATGTGTTGCCGATGTGTGTGTCTTTATTCTCATTTGTTGAGCATGTCGGGTGTTATTTTATTGTGTGATGGTAGAATACGCCTTGAGTCTTACTTTTGTTGTTGTTGTCACTTCTTGATGTGTCTTGGGATGTGTTCCCTTATCCTTGTTGTGAGTGGTATAGAGTCTTTGTAGTTGACTTCTATCTCTGGCTTTGAACTTATATATACAGTATTCCGTTTCGAAATGATTTTGTATTAAACTATCTATCTATATATGCTATTGACGCGTATTGATGGGTTACCAGCATTATTCGCTGACCGGGCGTCGTCCCATTTATTTATGTGCTTTTCAGGTCCCGAGTAGTCGGCAAGCGCGATAGAGATGGCTAGTTTAGTCTCCCAGACAGTTGTAGTTGAGTTTTGGGCCTGTGTGCCCCTTATGCTAGACATATTAGATTGTGATGTTGTTTTGACCTTGCTTGTGCGTTCACTTTAGTGTGGACGTGGCATAACACTCTCCGTTTTCTGGCTTTATATAAATAGAATTTCGCTGTGTTTTGCTTATGTTTGTGGTTAGAATGTCTTGCATACTTAAGTTTAAAATGGCATGAAAATCGGGGTTGTTACACTACCACCACCGTTGGTCCTCGAGCCCATGCCCTTGGCACAAGATCCCGCACCAGTAGCACAAGGGCTCGCACCGCTGGCTCCGGAAACCGCACTGCTAGAAATTGAAGGGCCGACACAACGGGCCCGTACCCGTACCACCCGTACCGCTCCATAAGAACGGGGCCACATCATGCGGCTACGTCACATGACACGTGGCACGGACGAGCCCTTTCATGCATTGAATGCTACCACTGATCCAACATGTTATTCACAAGCAGTCGGTCATCCACAATGGCGTGATGCCATGGACCTAGAATTCAATGCGTTACTACATAACAACACATGGACCTCATCCCGGCTGAACCGAATATGAACATCATTGGGTGCAAATAGGTGTTCCGCACAAAACGCACCGCAAACGGTTCTGTAGAGCACTACAAAGCCCGGCTTGTGGCTAAGGGGTTTAATCAGGTAGCTGGGGAAGACTTTTTCGACACATTTAGCCCCGTCGTCAAACCAACGGCAGTTCGCATGCTTTTTTCGATTGCCTTATTAAAAGGGTGGACTCTTCGTCAGTTAGATGTCCACAATGCCTTTCTCAATGGCCACTTAGCAGAAACCGTGTATATGAAGCAACCGCCTGGCTATGAGGACCCGACACACCCTGACTATGTGTGTCACCTTCAGCGCTACTTATATGGCTTGAAACAAGCACCCCGAGCTTGGTTTAAGAGGCTCCACGATTATTTGGTTTCTGTCGGCTTCTCCCCATCGAAGACTGATGTGTGACACCCCGTAAATCCAAATTCTATTTAAGGATTAATTAGATAATTAATCCTAGCTTAATTGGTAATTTATTCCTAAAATCCTGAAAATTCAATAGTCGGAGGACTAGAAATTGACTAGTCAATCCAAGTTAAAGGGTTGTACTCTATGCCTTATGAATTATTCCCTTGTCTCCTTACACTTCCCACTTTAGTAAGGGCAAAGAAGTCCTTTCACCTTATGTTTGTGTCCCAAGCTAACCTAGAGTCATCCTTCATTTCTTTCCCTACCACCCAAAACACAAAAGCTCCCCCTTCTCTCTAGAAAATTGTTAGCTTCATCTTCAAGCCAAATTTTGGGCAATCCTAGATTCTTCAAGTTGGCCTCCAAGATTCAAACTTTCTTGACCTTGAGCATAAGGGAGGGTAAGATCCTTGATTCCTTAGTGTTTTTAGTACCTTTTTAGTTGTCTTTTCTAAAAGATAGAATCTTTGTTGTCTTTTGGTGTGTTCTTGGAGTTGAAATTGAAGGAGAGCTTTAAGAGAAGCTTTAAGGGTGTGAAAAGTGAAGGTTTAGGCTACAAGAGGTAACCCATGCTTTACAAAATCTATTTTCTTACCTATATGATGATTTCTTGACTTCTACATGTGATTTTTGCTATGAAATGTGAGTTTTGATGCATTGTCTTGTGAGAATGCATATATAGAGCTTGTTATTAGGGTTCTTGTATGTCATTGCTTGGCTATTTCTTAGATTCAAGTCATATTGTTGTATTTTTGTGAGATTTTGGGTGTTTTGCACTTGAATTTGGACTTGTTGAAAATCCCTGAAGGGATTATTTTTGGTACAGGGACGTACCCGCGGGCGGAACGACGGGCAGGGAACCACCCGCCGCCCCACCCGCGGGGTACACTTGGCTTTGGAGTATAGTTCCCGCGGGCGGAACCACGGGTGGACCCCACCCGCGGGGTACACTTTTGAGGTTGTTTGGGGATTTGTTCCCCGTGATTCTTTTGACTCGGTAATTGATGTTTTGACTTCCCGATGTTGTTTTGTTGGGCTATTTGAGTGTCTTCTTGATGTTTCGTATGTCTAGAACGGTATGTTAGGAATCCATTTAGGATTTGGTGTCTTGAATCGTGCTAAGTGTTCAACCTTGTGATTCGTTGAACCATGATGAGCCTTGTATGTTCTTCGGAACTATGTTTGGTTTACCCGTTTGATAAGCATGCTAGTTTGATGTTGAAATGCTAGTGTGTGCGGTTTGTTCTTCCCTTGTGAGAATGACAACTTGTGTTGATCATTGCTTGGAGTCGGATTGTAGTCTTTCCTTGATTGAGTATGGTTTCATATCTTTGTTGTGATCCATTGATTGATTCCTGTGATAGAAATGTGTGTATTGGTTGTACCTTGATTGCATAGTTAATGGTATGGGACATTAATCACCAAGGTACAGATGTGGTCCTCGTGGTGGCCATGAATTGAGTTTGGTGGTTTATTATCGTGAGTTTAGCTCACATGTTTGGCGGTTTTGTGATATGATCTTGCAATGTACACTCGTGTACTGAGCGTTCGACGGTATTGTTTGGCGGTTGTTGGAGGGGGAACGACGGTTCCCGGAGGCAAAAGGTTGGATTTGGAAGTATAGGGTGGCACTCGGAGGTAAAGGTTGGAACTGTAATAAGGCCGGGGGTAGGCATAAGGTTGGAACTTGTGACATGAAGTGTCACTGTGGCATGAAGTGCCAATGAGTAATGTCTATTCTTTTCTGATAATCATGTTGAGTGGTATTCTACTTTTTGTTCAGTAGAATACACCTCGAGTTGTACTCGTTTATTGTTGTTGTCTTTGCCTTGATGTCTTCTACTTTGTGATCAGTAGATTACATCTTGAGCTGTGTTGAGTTGTGCTCTTGTTGTCTTGTCTTGATGTTGTCTTCGGATGTTGATTTCCCTTGTTCTTTTGAGAGTGAAATGGAGTCTTTGCAGTTGACTCTCTCTTTGTCTTTGAATTGATATATACTGTATTTCGTTCCTAAAATTATTTTGATTATACTATCTATATATGTTATTGAACGCGTACTGATGGGTTACTAGCAATATTCGCTGACCGGGCGTCGTCCCCTTTCTTTATGTGCTTTACAGGTCCTGAGTAGACATGGCGAGAGCGTTAGTCGTTAGTAGTTTAGCTCCCTTGAACAATGTAGTTAGTGTTTTGGCCTGTGTGCCACCGTTGTTGAACAAAATAGTTTGATGGTTTTAGACTTGCATGTGCATTCACGTTGAGGTGAATGTGGCATAACACTCCTTGGTTTTCCCCGTTTTTATATTAGACTTCTGTTGTGCTTACATTTTATGTTATCTGTTAGTTACCTTACCTTACGTATTTAAGTTTTAAAATGGCATGAAAATCGGGGGTGTTACATGATGTCTCCCTTTTTCACTACTCCGCTGGTTTATCACGGGTGTTCCTTCTGGTCTATGTGGACGACATCATTATGATGGGAAATGACTCCGCCTTGATTGATAACTTACTGCACCGGCTATCCACTACCTTCAAAATTCGTGACCCTGGCACTCCGGGATTCTTTCTTGGTATTGAAACACTGAAGATTGGCAGTGGACTCATGCTGTCTCAACGTCGCTACATGAAAGATCTCCTGAACCGGGCTGGTATGACGGATTGTAAACCTCTGGCCACTCCAGCTGCTGTCACTCAGGCCGTCACACCGTCCACGCAACCATATGAGAATCCCACTCACTACAGGCGTCTAGTCGAGGCCTTACAATACTTAACCATCACACGGCCGGACCTTTCTTATGCAGTTAATCGTCTGTGTCAGTTCATGCACTCTCCGGTTGATGATCATTGGGCACTACTGAAAGGAGTTTTACAGTACATTAAAGGGACACTCGACTACGGGTTATGTCTATCGGCTTCGCCCTCGACTGCGGTTCATGCCTTCTCTGATTCAGACTGGGCTGGGTGTCCGGTACACAGGAAGAGTACTAGTGGGTACGCCGTCTTTTTGGGCTCTAATCTAATCTCATGGCTCTCCAGGAAACAGTGCACTATCGCCCGCACTTCGACTGAAGCCGAGTATAAGACACTTGCAGATGTCTCAGCAAAAGTCACGTGGGTTGTCTCTTTACTCCGCGAGCTTGGGTTGCATTCTGGGGATCCAGCGACTCTGTGGTGTGACAATCTCGGCGCCATTTATCTATGCGCCAACCTAGTTTTTCACACCAGGACCAAGTATGTAGAGATTGATTTTCACTTTGTTCGGGACAAAGTTGCTTCGGGTGACTTCGTGGTGAACTTTGTGTCTACTAAAGATCAGCTGGCGGATGTCTTCACCAAACCCCTACCGGGGCCAAGATTTGCGGCGCTACGCGACAAGCTCAATATTGTCTCACACCCTTGTGCTTGAGGGGGTGTGTTAGTAATGTTATTAGTTTATATTGTTATTATTATTATATTTAATAATTGTGTATTAAGTTGGTTAAGCCTCCTGTGGCTAGCCTATTAGATAGGAGTTCTTTACGTATTAATATTGTAATTCCTTATCGTTTCAGAATTGAATAGATTTCACAAACTCATCCTATGGACTCGTGAGTTCAAGGCAGTGTATTGTGTGCTATTTTTGTGTATAATTTTTGGAAAATATTTTGATTGTTTTGAAGATGCCTGTGAACAAAGAAAATTGAATATATTCAAAATTTTGGGTTACATGTCAAATATCAAGGGAGTGTGGGTACAAGTCTCTGGAGGATCCTCTGATTCTTCAATTGATGTCTTGAACACTCCACCATTGGAGGGCCTCCGGGTTTCAAGTGGTTTGATCTTCAAAGAAGGGCTTGTATATATAGCTTGTTCTTCTTGAAGGGCCTCCGGGTTCAAATGGCTTGATCTTCAATAGATGTTTGGATCAACATGCATCAACATATGGAGGAGGAGAGGCTTTTACTTTCAGGATCACATTTTTATTGTGATCTCTGAATAAGCTTTAGATTTCTTTCTATGATTTTTCCTAGGATGTGTGTTTACATAGAAATGAAAAGTCCTATTTATAGCGGTAGGATAGAAGAGTTTTGATAGGTTCAAACTCTTTTGATATTATCTAATTAACAAATTAGAAAATATCAATATTATCCAAAATATTTTAAATATATTCAAATATGCTAATATTGATAAATAATCAATATTTATCAAAATTTAAGTGTCTACAATGCCTCTTGACACTTGTGTTATAGATATTATGTGAGTTGGAAATGCTATGTTTGAGAAACCATTATTTTGAGAATAGGTTATGTATATATTTTGGAAATTTATTTTTGAGAAAATTATATGAGTATGGTAGGGATATTATGTTACATTTATGAATGGCATTTTGATAGCCTAAGGGCAAAGATTATTGAAGTATATGCACATTATTTTGATAAGGTTATGGTTGTGAAAATTATATTTGAGGAATATGTTATAAAGATTATTATTATCATTATTTTGGGAGGATATTTGTATAAAAATGTATTATTTTGGAGGATTTTGTGATTTGTGGGCTAAGGGCTTATTTTGGGATTATATCCGGTAGAAAACATCCTAGATAATTGATTGAGGGGAAACTTGGTAAAAAACATCTTGGGTTACTAGAGTTTGTTTACCACATGTTGGGCTTGAAATCTCAATTAGCCAGTGTGCACACTTAAGGTAGTGGTCACGTTTCCACCTAGGGTAAAGTGGGGGGGTTTTATGGTGTGTTTAGTAAAGGTTTGATGTTCACCTAAGGCTTTAATGAGATGATGTCCCTGCCCCACTAGCGTGATTTGGATTCCTCCATATATATATATATATATATATATATATATATATATATATATATATATATATATATATATATATCCCTCATTTATGTCCATGTTTTTAGTGCTAACCATTTTGTACATTGTGCTTTCAGAGTTGTACTATACAATTTTTTGGACAAAAGTACCCTTACCGTTATAACTTACGTTATCTTTTCCATTACTTTTACCATGCACATGTATTCATCATATATTTTATTATATTGTTTAATGATAACAATATTTGTAGACATTCTATATTCATTACTTTTAACTAGTAAAATTTTTTTAGTTATTTTTTAAAATATAAATATTGGGCATATGTTTTTTGCGCATTACGCATAGAAAATATATATATATATATATATATATATATATATATATATATATATATATATATATGTATGTATGTATGTATATGGTTGAGTTCACATGAGGACCACAATATATAAAGGACTGTGCGGACTGATTACGGGCACACGATAAATTAGTATCAGGCACACAACGTAATACACAAATGGCACACAAGAATACATGTAAACATCAGGTTTTGAACCCAAGCTCTATTAAGGTGCATGATTTGTTTGCTTAAGGTGCGTCAGTTGCTTAAGGTGAGTTAGTTGTGTAAAACATAAAGTGAACCATTTTTAAAACCTTAGGTGCGTGGTTTGTGTTCTTAAGGTGCTTTGTTATGTACTTAAGGTGCATGGTTTGTGTTCTTAAGGTGCATGATTTGTGTTCCTAAGGTGTTCTGTTTATGTGCTGAATGTGCGTATGTTGTGTACTTAAAGTGCGTCAGTTTAATGCTTAATGTGCGTCTAACCGCACAATCGCATGGGAAGCCATTATCGCACCAGATCCCTTCCCTATATATATATATATATATATATATATATATGTGTGTGTGTGTGTGTGTGTGTGTGTGTGTGTGTGTGTGTGTGTGTGTGTAGAAAATTACACTTTTGGTCCTATAACTATTGATGTCTTGTTAATTTCAATACTTAACTTTAAAAACTAACAATTTAGTCCCGTAACTATGCAATTCTTAACGCATTTGATCCACCCGGCCAAATGTCGCCGTAAAAAATGTACTCCGTAAACCATTTTAGATTATTTATTTATGGGGGCAAAATTGTCATTTCATGCCACTTTCTCTTCTTCCGCCTGAAAACGTTCATTTCATCGCCGGTGATTGATAGTGGCGGCCATTATTGAAAACGAAGAAGCTTGATAGCTACTCGTGACCGCAGTTTCAGTACTGGGTCTGAGGCCATTATTGTGTTTAGAGGCAGCAGGAAACATAACGGAACCAGCTCTAGTAACATTATTTGTAAAACAACCCAAGGCGCGGGGAGAGAGCTGGTGATCGGAGAAATGATCGGGAGCGGGTGGCTGGAAATCGGAGAAGGTTCTCCGGTGAGAAGAGCCATCGGCGAAATCAGCTCCGATGAGAAAGTGGTATCTCCGGTTAGAGGTGTCCGGGAGGCACCATATTTACTGTCTGTAAATGTCTACAGGCGGCATAAGATTGAAAAATAAAGAAAATCTTTACCCTGTTATATTTCTCTGGCATTTGTTTAATGATGTTTGTTAAGGAGTTCTATACTGCTTTTTTTTTTTTAAGGACAGTTTGTTTGTTTTTTGTTTAATAAATCATAAAGTAGTAATTGAACATTGTACTTAACTCATTGATTTTTTCGCTAAATTAATTTACAAAACCGACAATTAATTAGTTTTGTAAGATCTGCATAATTAATTGTTTGAAGATCTGCAATGGAGAAGACGCGGGGTAGGTGCAAGGAAGAAGAAGACTTGAATTGACCGTTTTACCTACATGAATAATTGATTTAAAAAGACTTGCGTTTTTCCGACGATATATTGGCCGGTGATTTGGTCGGAAGACCAAATGTGTTAAAAATTACATAGTTACGGGATTAAATTGTTAGTTTTTAAAGTTAAGTATTGAAATTAACAAGACTTCAATAATTATAGGACCAAAAGTGTAATTTTCTCATATATATATATATGATATTGGTTATACTTTGAGAATTCTAAATACATTCTCAAAGCATAACCGATATCATATATATACACTTTTGAATACCTATTTTACGTATAATACTTGAGAATAATGTCTTAAACTTATCTATATTTATTATGGAAAGAAATGATGTTTTGAAAATGGATATATCTACTTATACATTCATATGGCATGACTTTTAAAGTGATTGTATCTGTTTTGACTTGTTAAAATGTTTCCTACAATCGTGGCTAATGATTTAAGCTTTTGGGTGAATGCGTGAGTACTTAAATATTTAAATATTAAACCTATGATTTTGGAATGTAAACCCCTTATTTTTATAAAGTATAAAAATGTAATTATTTTATGGGGCAAAGTCGTTCTTACTTAGCATGTTTATGCTAATTGTTTGTTTTTATGTGTTTTGAACTTACCCCTTTTCAGGTTAGGAGTAATGTATGCATCGAGAGCGCGTATTAGTGGTTGTAACTCTCGTATTGATTCCTCTTACTTAGATTTGACCGTTGAGACAATTATGTTATGATTGAGATAGTTGTAGACTTGATAATTGTAGACATTTGTTACTTCCTTTTTGAGCTCTTAGTACTTGGGAGTTTGTATGATGAATTTGACAATTGTGTCTTGTAGAACCCGTGTTTTGGATTTTGTTACCTTTAGTGGAAGCCTGCATCTATCCATGAGTGGATAGGTATGACGGTAATGCTCCCTTTGTTTTAAGGATATTAAATATTATCTTAGTTGGATGAAATCTTAGGAGCATTTATATTGTTTAATTAGATGACTCCCTTATGATATTGTGTTAGAATTTGGGGGTGTTACACTAATGCACAACATTATGTGCACTGTTAAATGCTACCGGAATTGTGGGAACAATTATATATTACACAATGCACATTTATGCATTGCAATGTGCACACTCTAATATTGCATTGCACATACATTCACATTGAAATCCACAAATACACATTATGCACCACTACCACGAGCAAGGAAAATAAGGATAAAAAAATTTCAGTTGATTCACATACCAAACTAGTGCACAAACACATTATTATATGCAAACCACAACACAAACAAATGAACACACATATGTATTATAGTGCACACACGCCATACACATCATGCACCATCACCGCCACCACCAAGAAAATAAAGATAAAAATCTCAATTGATTCACATATTTGACTCGTGCACAAGCACAGATAATTAGATGTAAACGACACCACAAACAAATGCATAAAAATCTCAGTTGATCACATACTTAACCAGTGCGCACATGCCACATTCATACATTACACTATGTACACTCTAAAATTGCATTGTCCATATGTTCACATTGAAATGCACTACCATCACAACCAAGGAAAACAAAGAAAAAAAATCACAATTGATTTATACCTAACTAGTGCACAAACACATTATTAGATGAAACCTACATCACAAGCAAATGCACACGCCTATGTACTATAGTGCACACATGCCAAGTTTACAACACACACACATCACATGAAAACAAAGTGCACACAAGGCCATGTCAAGGTGCACACATAC